GAGAGAGAGAGAGAGAGAGAGAGAGAGAGAGAGAGAGAGAGAGAGAGAGAGAGAGAGAGAGAGAGAGAGAGAGAGAGAGTCTCAACTCAGCATTCTGCTTTCTGTTCGTCCTCACGACCAGATGCAGAGTGTTTTGTTCCCCCCTCCCCCTCCCCCTCCCTTCCAGGGGACCCGGTCTTCTTCGTTCTCCATGCGGGTCTGTTGAACCGGTGTTGAAGAAGGAGAGCCCAATGAAACGTCTGCAGCAATTTTCCATGTGTGTGAATGAATCATAGTCAATGAGCATAAAAAGTCAATGATGTTGTGGTGTACAAAATGAGCGATATTTTATTTTGAAGAGTCTGTAGAATTATATGCAGTATCCATTCGTCATCATTACATCATTCATTATCGTGTAATTGCATTGCAACTCGATGTTCTCAGAAGAAGAAGGTGACTTGATCGAATCTAGGAAAGCACCCACCTCCAGGGGCACAGTCCCACCAGTACTTGGCCCAGCTATGGGCCGTGGAGAAACATAGAGTAGAAACGTTTCTAGTCGGATGAATGTGGGCACTCCTGTAGTGGTTTATACGTTTCCCAAAATTGTGGCTTGTTAACGGGCACGACTTTAGGCAGTACTGGTGGTTTAAGAGCCTGAATCTGGATGTGTTTTATGCGGAGATGCATGAAACCAGATCAATCCCGATTTTCTGCCCCTCTCCAGAAACACCACCAGGTTCAGCGCATTAAAGTCAATCCTCTTTCCTAGTGGTACCTTGCCCCAGAAGATGGTAATGACAAAATACGACCCTCCATATGTGCCTATATGTACATATATGTATATATGTTAACAACATAAACATATACGCCCCGCTATATATACCTATATGTACATATTTGTATAGATGTATGTATAGGGTTCAGCCTCTTGATGAGTCGGTGAAACTCCGACGAAACAGTTTGCCACAGCCCCTCGTTTATTGTCCTCTTCTCTCTCTCTGTCTATGGTTCGCCGGGCAGCTCTGTTTGATGACATATATACATTATTATATAGTTATTATTATATACAAACGAAAAAGAATGACTGCCTGCGGGGCACTTAGTGCGAACCGACCGTGATGGTCCGCTTGATACCTCTGATCGGTATTACTAGGGTCTATGACCAACACGGGTGTGAGTGTGAGTGCAAGTGGGTTGTGTGGGAGAGCCTTGGCCATAGCCAGTGCTGCTACTCGATGGGGGTTGGGGAA